CAGGGGAGTACTGTCCTATTAGTTTTCTGGAGCTGCTCAGTACTTTTCAGCATCATCAACCATGTATCCTTTTGCTCCATTCAGTTTCTTGCATAGGTCATTCACAAAGGCAACTAAAGACATTTCACTTCCATAGCTCAAATATACAGCTAAATTAATTTGTCAACCAGATTCAGTTTCTTGCATAGGTCATTCACAAAGGCAACTAAAGACATTTCACTTCCATAGCTCAAATATACAGCTAAATTAATTTGTCAACCAGATTCAGTTTCTTGCATAGGTCATTCACAAAGGCAACTAAAGACATTTCACTTCCATAGCTCAAATATACAGCTAAATTAATTTGTCAACCAGTGTTCAGAGGATGGTGAACTACATTGGTTTACCTCTAGGCATTTTTCTGCAGTGTCTAACAAGGGTTCCTTTATGTCCCTATGTCATTCAGTATCTCCATGAAACTACTAAGAATGGCCAGACTATCTAGCCACCAGGGATTTCCTATCCTTCAAGGAAAGGAAAATACAAAGTCTATTTCTTCCCCTAAATATATTCCCTTTATTGATATAATAATGGATTTATTGTATAGTAAAGATTTATTTATTTATTTATTTATTTATTTATTTATTTTGCTGTTTTCATGAGCAAAATTTGGTCAGAGTTACTGTGGAATAAGGAACATCTATTACCATCTCTGTTGAGTTTTGATGTTCTGGAATTGGCACAATATTTTCAGGTAAAGGACCACTAATGATATGTGCCCTAAATGCAAAGCTTTTTATATTTAGGCAATAAATGTCCTAGTTCTGATGGGATATTGTCAATGTTTACACTGAGACTATGGTCATTATTAATAATAATCTTCATATACTATTTTTCTATCAACGTGTATTTAATTCTTGCATGCATAAGTTATATATTTGGACAAGTACCTTTAAAATCTGCTTAGATCTGCAGTGTCACTTCCTTTGCTTTCACATGATCTGCCACTTGAAATTTCCTTTCCCACAAAAGACTGATGGTTCACTGACCTATGCATGTGATTGATAGCTAATGACAGGAAAATAATGTGTGTGCTTTATCATTGCTAAAGCAGTGCTTCAGCAGGCCAAGTTATCTATTAAAGTCCTAAAGTTTGAAATGGAAAGTATTCTGAAATGTATGTGGCTTTTTTTAAAATAAGAATTATTTCAGAAATACTGTTTTTTTCTGCATAGTCTATTGAAGAAAATGAAGTTTATTTACCAAATGATGAACTTTGGATCTATGAAATTGACAATGGATTATGGTAAGTTACATTATTTACTGTTAATTTATCGGAAGATACTTTACACGACAAGCTTTATTTGTTGAAATTAATATTTTAGCTAAATAAGCTTTTTACCTCCTTGTCTCTTTTAATAAATTTAGCATTGAAAAAGAAATATGGTCCTAAGGCTAGATTTTCATACCATACTAGATTGAAATATGACTGACTACGTCTAGGTTATGCCATCACAGCAAATATAATTAGTTTAGGGTTCAGTGTTTTGTGGACATTCAGGTAACTTGGTTACTTGGATAAAGCAACCCTAGATTTCCTATACTGTATAAAAAGTCCTGTTGATTTTAATGTGATTACCCACAATGCATTTGGAAATGGATATCAGTAATAATTCTTTCCCTGCTCAGGGACTGTTGTAACTAGTGGGTTCTATTCTCATTTAGGAGTGAGTCAGAAAATCTTGCATTAGCCAGTAAGAATGTTGCTATTTTCTCGAGTGTTTTATCTGATTGTGCTGAAATAATTCCTCTCAACCTATAGCTTGTGTTGCCTGAAAATTATGGCATTTCTGTCAGATCACATTTGGTGAGCACCAAGTTGGGGAATATTAATTTACAGTGACTGGTAAGAGTTCTCCTGGATTTCCAGCAGGAATCTTCCCAGCCCTATTTAGAGATTTGAAGAACTAAACCTGGGATCTTAACATATAAAACACATGTTCTGCCAGTGGGTGATGGGCCTTTCCTTCACCGGGTGTGCCTCGCCAGCAGCGGGAGGAAGAAGACAGCGAAGATCTGCTGGGACTGGCGGGGAGCAGCAGGAGTAGGCAGCAGTGGAATGCAGGGCAGCCAAAAGGGCAGAGATGGAGGGGAGATAGGTGGGTGTCATGAAGGCCTTGTGGAGGGCCAGCAGCTGCCTCAGCTGGGCACACCTCAGCAGCAGCATGAGGAAGTAGACAGCGAAAATCAGCTGTGGCTGGTGGGTAGGCGGCAACGGTGGAGTGCAGGGCGCCTAAAGGGCAGAGATGCAGGGGAGATAGGCAAGGGGGAAGAGTTGAAGCGGAGGTGAGCACAGCAGGGCAGGAGAAGCCTGCAGTCGTCTCCTAACGATCGCAACTGGGACTATCAGAACTGCTGTCGCTAAGCGGTATGGTCATGTGATATTTCACCTGGCCGCTTCACTTAGCAACAGAAACTCTGGTCCCAATTAGGGTCATTAAATGAGGACTACCTATATATGGCAACCCTAGGCCACATTGACTGATGGTGCCACCTCACACCAATGCAAAGATTTGCATTTTAAGAATGATTCAGAAGGAGGGGTAGAGTTGGGGTCTCCTGAACTTTGGTGTCTTAGGCCAGTGCCTCCTTGGCCTTACCTAAAGCCAGCCCTGTTTGAATCCAATTTCATCAATTTGGGGAAAAGTTTCTTTCTAGGATCTGTTGGGGGTTTATTCCTTCATGAGCTCTGTGTGTTTGTATCCCATTCCAGTTCAATTAATATTGGAGAAAAAGAAATAGTTTCATGTGGAGAACCTAGAAATGCACAGTGGATTTCCTCAATATGCCTTTTGAGATCTGACAATATGCTGCTGTGGAACTTGATTGAAAGTGGCTTTGAACTCTGACAACAAACTGAAATTAAAAAGAAAAAATCACACAGACCTTTATTGAAAAGTCAATTATCTTTAACATGCAAACAAAAACAAGTGCATGTAAATGAACAATCAGAAGAGCAATGCAGAATAAAATAATTATCAGCGTGGCTAAAATATAATGTACTGTGTTTCTTAATGTTCAACAATTATTTTCATCTTTACTATTTTTGATGCTCAAGGTGAGATTCAGCCCTTTGCTTCCAAACTTTTGATTACTTAAGGTTTATTTGCAACCTTTCAACCAACCCTTCAGCTTAACCATTTTTGTCCAGGCAACCCAGTACATTAACTCAACAATAGCAAACACAAAAATATACTCTTAAAAGGCAATAATAACTTTTCTTTAAAACAAGCTCAAACCAACTTAATTAAATAGGTACAGCAAGAAAAAATGCTACTGAACATAGTGAAATAGTTTAGTTGAAGTATATTTTACTGAATATCCCAAGAGGTCAACTTTACAACCCCTCTGCAGTATTTTACTTTATATTAGACTATCCTTATTACAATACAGTAAATTAGAGTTAATCCATTTGTGACTTCTACTCAACACTTAGATATAAAAGAAGTGATTTAAAAATCCATAATCCTGGCTGCTAGAAAAATATTTCCTTTCTTGTTCATCTAACCAATGAAATGTATTTATATTTTATTTATATTGGTAATTTTATATTTCAGGCTAATGATATTTCCAAGGTAGTTCACAATTAACACATAAAAATTAAAAACATAAAACAGCAGGCTTCTGACATATTTGAATAAATGGCATCTGTTCCATCAAAAGCAATTCAAAGGACCACTTAAAAATCAGAGAGTAAACCAAATGCATATCCCATGAAACGGAATTCCATGTTTCTTAAGCATATTACTGTAAATGTCTCCTAATGTTACATAGAAGAGTGTTCAAGTCACATCAAAATATTTCACTAATAGTAATATTTTTCCTTACTTGAAATCTGAGGTGCAGTCTTCGGTATAACTCCATATTTTTACTTGTATCTCATGCTTAATAAATTTACATGTTTAAATATATGTATACATGTTTAATGGGGAAAACGTGTCAAAGGAATTACATAGATTGAGGCAGATAATATTTTTTCCTTCTGCAAAATTATTAAATTTAGTTTCCATGTATTGAAGGCATTATTGGTTTTCATCTGTTTCCCATATTCTCTGAGCAAACTTAAAGGATACTCTACTTACAGGTCAATGCATCTAATGGAAGGGGAGTTGCCTCCATCCATGTCTGGAAGCTGTGGAGCCTGCATTAATGGAAAACTCTACATCTTTGGAGGATTTGACGACAAAGGATACAGCAATCGGGTACTGGATTCCCTTCATTGTTAAAAATGTTCTTAACAAAATGAGAAATCTCTTAAATGGTAGAAAAATAGTCGGGGTTCAATTTGTTTAAAAACTGAATTGTATCAATTTTTATATCTATAATTATTGTTCTAAGTTTTTTATTCTGTGTCTCATTTTTGTGTTTTTATGTTTTATTGTTGTAGCTCTATTAAAACTTAAAATATATAGTGGTAAGAATTTATAATGATCAAGAAATGTCAAGAATAAGATTTGGATTTTGGATTTTTCACAGATAGAGCTTAGGAGACTACAACCAGCGCCTAAATAATAACTTTGATATATCTAAGTGCTTGAACACCTCATATGGAATAGTTTACATTTAATTGGATAGTAGAATCTATCCCATATATGACGTAAATGCTGCATGGGAAATAAAAGTTGCATGTCTCACTGAATGAATATACTTGGTGTAATTCTTGTGTGCTGTATGTAAGCACTAACAGTGTGAATTCCAGCTTGATACCACTTCCAGGTGAATGATGTTCAACAGAGCTACCATTTGATAGCAGTGAGACTTTATTGACAAATATGTTTAGGAGCATCATCAAAAACGTCTTAAGGCTTTAACTGGTTGGGGGTATCAGAGTTGTAGAAAAGATGAAACAAAATATGATTTTTTTTTCTTTCTTCATTCAAACTACTCAGAATTACTGCTGCTATTATGGAAAATGTGAGGGCCATCTGATATCCATAGTTGAAATTGGAATGTATGAGTTTGAGATAGCTTGGTTTCACTAAAATTACTTGGAGGACCAGTAACTTGTTTCTATAGGTCTGTACAATGAGGATAATTTAATTAGTTTCCCATCTCTGTGTTCTCCGAAAGCCATAGGTATTAAACTTGCAGCTAGCTTTACTTCAGTGGGGCTACTAAGTGACTAAAAGGAACAGCATTTTCATTACTGAGAATTTGGCCCTAATCCAAAGGTAGCATCAGTTCAAAAACCTATCACAATTAGAAAATTTTTGCAAGTTGTTAGGGTAGAAGTTCATTCAGATATTGGAAGTAGGAGAATTTAATCCTTTTCCTTAAGATAGTAATGGAATGTTGGTTTTCTCTATTCATTGTCTTTTTCCATTAACACTTCATTTTTATAGAATAATATTGTATCTTTAAAGTATTCTAATTTCCTTTTAAGCTCTATCGTGTTAATTTGAGAACAAGAAATGGAATTTATTTATGGAAGCAAATTACAGACTTTAAAGGTCAGCCTCCTACACCACGTGACAAGCTTGCTTGCTGGGTGTATAAAGACAGGTAATTCCATGAATGATTTCATAATTGGGGAGGAAAGTTATAGCTGATGAAAAAATATCTGGTAACTTAATGGCTTGATAAAATTTGTCAATTGGGATATACTACTGTGGGCAATACTTACATTATAAGTAAATAACAGGCTGCAATATTTTTTTTTAAGATTAAATGCTTTGAATATTAATTCAATTTTTCTCTTTTCCTCTACTGATATTGCCAGTGCATTGCTGACAGAAAAGTAGTATATTTTGGATGTCCTTCTTACCTATGTAAAATGAGGAATACATATAAGGCGAATAAACAGATTACTGCAGGTGATATTTGAGAAGTCTTATGGAGAATGATAGGGCAGAACTATAGTATTCTTAGGTTTATTGCTGAGAAATTAATTGGTATTTTTAATTCCAATTGTTTCAGATTAATCTATTTTGGTGGTTACGGTTGTAGGAAGCAAAATGAGCTGAGTGACTGTTTTGATGTTCATGATGCATTTTGGGTAAGATAACTTTTAATTCCAAGCAAAAAGGAGCATTTGATTTATTATCAGTGCTTTTATTGCATTTTTTATTATTACTTCTTCTTTTACTTTTTTTTTTAGGAAGGTCAAATATTCTGGGGATGGCACAATGATGTTCATGTTTTTGATACAAGTACGCAAACTTGGTATCAGCCAAAAATTAAAGTAAGCATTGTAACCATCTGTATGCCTATTATCCAGGTGCACTGGTGATACAACATCATACTTGATAGGCACATTCTGATTCTTTACTGTTATTTCTCTTGCTTGCAGCGTGGAATTGCACCTCAGCCTCGAGCAGCTCATTCATGTGCAGTCATAGGGAATACAGGCTATGTCTTTGGAGGACGGGTTTTGGTTTGTACTTACTCAGTGCCCACTTATTTTTTATAAGGAGAAGGATGATTTAGTGCTGGAAAGGAAAAAAAAAAGTAACTTTTGGAAGTAAAAAGAGAATGTTAAAATATTAAGGCCTTGCTATGAGGAAAAGGATAGTCTTGCACTTTTTTTGCTCAGTTTTCCTCTGGCTGCAGCTTGACTCTAAAATTTATTCCTGAAAGAATTAAAATAAGAGGGCTAATTGAAGAATAGGAAAATAGAATGTCCATTATAATAAATGAGACTATTGTCCATCTAGCCTAATATTTTTATGTATAGAGCTGCCCAGCAGCTGCTAAGTGGGGTTAAAGTGTTCCTGCTGCTCATTCGGGGGTAGTGGCAGCAAGTGATTATGCACCAGAAAGGGAAGGAGTATTTATTTGAAAGGCTTCAACAGAGAAAGATCAAGCCCTTCAGTCCAAAATCAGCAATTCTAAAATACTTTACCTGTATTTTATCTTCTGGAAAAAAATGAATTTGACCACACACCCACTCTAGCAGGGAGTTACTTTTGATTCAAACAGTTGGTTTGAATTGTCCCTTTGTTACTTCAGGCTGTTAGTTTGATTTGATTTGAAAATCAAATGCATATAATTCATATAGACATAACACGTTCAAATAGTGTGAGGACATACATCTCACACTATGAGATAAGGATACTATCTCCTTTCTTCATGTTCTTGTAAACCATAATAAGCATAATCTCAATTGCTACAGCTAGATAGGTTTTCTTATATGAGGAATTTGTAGACTGAAATTGATATTATATTTTATTTTAAAATAATTATTGGATGTTGTATTTTTTACTTAATTAAACTTTTTTTTTAAATAGCAAACAAGGATGAATGATTTACATTCTCTGAATTTAGATACCTGGGTTTGGTCAGGAAAGTAAGTTTTTTTCCTTGATGTTTTTTCTGTTCTACATAAATACCGTAGTTAAATGTAATTTAATCTTGAATATTTTCATGGTGTTTGCTTTTGAGTTTGTGATAGTTAAGAAATTGCTACTATTTCTATTAACGTGATGTGGCATAATAATTGTTTTATGGTAGTAAGCAAATTTATAATTTATAGGTAGAATTCTATACATTACGTGAACATCTTTGAAATATGCTATCCATTATTATGTGGATGAGTTTTTTCAGAGGGTAAAAGAGCAATTTTTAAAAATTAGTAATGCTTTTCTAGAAACACTTATTTTGTTATTTTGATGGGCTTCATAATTTAATGAATTTATTGCAGATTAAGTGTAAGTGTCAAAGGGTTCCTCCCCTGCAGTATCAAGAAGTGATTTTGCTGTGAGCCACCCTTTTGCTGCTATAGACTGCTTTGTTTTAAAAATGAGGAAAACATCTAGGTCAACAAAGCATATTTTAGGATTTTATTAAATCCCAAGAATTTCTTAGATGAAGCTCCTAAGAATATTTTCAAAACATAGATTTTTGGTTATCCATTAGACTGTCATGCTGGCAATTCATGTTAACTGATATATATATGTTACTCTAAGTTGCAGATTAGAAACTGGTGCTATAGGCCTTTTGTTTTCTGGTTTAGTTGGGTTGTCAACTGAAGAAGGCTCAGAAGTGTGCTTGAATCCCAGTTGTTTCATATTTTGAATCTACAGGACTCTGTTCCAGCAGTTAATGAAATAAAAAATTTATATGACATAAGCTGCCTTAGGAAATACTTCTTCCCACCCATCCCCCAAACATGATTTAACACTCAATAATTATTTGGGATTTGTTTGTTTGTTTGCTTGTTTCTTTTAATTATATAAGCAGTTTTGGTTGCTCTTCTACTTAGAATTGGTACAAATGGAGAAACGCCAAGAGACAGATCATGGCACACATTGACTCCTGTGACAGATGGGAAACTTTTCCTGTTTGGTGGACTGAGTTCAGACAATGTACCCTTAAGTAAGTAGCATTTGTTCTGAATTGTTGAGATTGCAATGAAGATACAGGTAGTCCTTGGGTTATGACGGCAATTGGGACCCAGATTGCCATCACTAAGCAATGCAGTTGTAAAGCGTGACATCACATGACTGCATTGCTTAGCGATGGCAGTCCCGGCTGCTGTCATAACCCCAAGACACACGGGTCGTTTAAGTGGGTAGAGGCGAGAGTCCCAGGTAAGGAGCACTAGGGGTGGGGGAGGGCTAGCACAGGCTGCACGAGTCACAGGAGGCTGGGAAGGGCCCGAGAGGGCCCATGGAGGCTGTGCGTAGGCAGGTGCTGCAGGTGGGAGAAAAAGCGGGAGCAACTTACTAGAGCGATTTGCAACCTTCCTTGCCAGCTTCCCTACTGAGTTTGCTTGTGGGAAGCCGGCAAGGAAGATCACAAATGGCGATCGTGTGACTGCGGCTTCCTGCAGCGTTGTAATTGCAAGCCAGATAGATGAGTACATGAATCGCAATCATGTGACTGCGGAGGTGCTGCAATGGCCAGAACTTTGAGGACCAGTCATACATCCATTTTTTAAGTGCCACCATAACTTTGAATGGTACCTTTAGTGTTCTTCTCAAACAGGATTTTCAGCAAACAGGAGGACAAAGTACAGTGGTACCTTGGGTTACGAACGCCTCTGCTTATGCAACTTTTCGGGTTGCGACCAGCTCCGGCCGCAAAAATTTACCTCGGTTTGCGAACTCCGCCTCCGGGGACGAACCGGATCCGCAGCCATTTTCCCCCCTGAACAGCGGTCCGGGGCCCTTTTCTGCCCGTGCCACAGGGTCTGCAGCCATTTTTGCGCCCATGCACGTGGTCCACAGCCATTTTTCCACCCGTGCCACA